TGAAACAGAACACTGTCCAATCATGACTGGGTCCATTTATTTTCATTGAGTACATGTAAGAGCATGTAGTACACATTACTACAAGGAACTTGTGAGAGAGAGAGAGAAGAGAACTGTCCAAGTGTTGGATTGTGTGGTGGAGAGCCATGGCTACTGGGTCATCTGTGGGTCTGCTGGGGCGGTAGGAGTGCTGAAGGGGGTCAGTGGTGACCAGGGCTAGAACCAGTTCAGCACTTCTTAGCTACCAGTGTGAGTACTTCTGCTCATCCCTACACTGTTGATGTTTATTGTGTGTGTTCGTTTTGGTTGTTTCTGCTGAATGTTTAATATTCCAACAACAATTCTGAATAAAATCAAAATAAATGACAAATATGCCTTAAAACCACAAGTATCACTATGAAGTTCACATAAATACAAATTTTAGTGCAGCAGTCCCAGGTTTATTAGGTTTCTGTATTTCCATCCATCTGAACCCGCTTGTCCACGCAGGGTAAACATGCGGGGTACACCCTGGACAGACTGCCAGTTTATGGCAGGGCAAGGTTTCTGTATATGTATGGGTTTAATATTGACACAGGTGCTTTTATGGATCGTTATAAAATAATTAATATACTTTTGGCTTATTTGTTTTTTTAAATAAATAAATAAACAACGGTTGTACCCACCACTACAGATGCCAGTCAACGGTGCAGTCTTCCACACTCTGTCGAAGACACAAATACGTCCTTTTCCTAAATAAAGGACTTAGGTACCTCTATCTGCTCTCAACTCAAAGAGCACAGTTGTAAGTAGCCCAAAGCTGATGCCAAGGTAATCTCAAATGAGCTGTCACCATCTTTGTTTCCTCGTTCAGATGCAGTAACATCCTGCCCCCCAAGCCGTGCTGTGATTGGCCCACCAAAACGATAGAGCGCTGTGGTTGGCAAGGCACACAACTGTTCAGGCTAGCTGAGGCTCCTGTGAAGCGTGTCTAGATCGATCTGCAAAGCAAAATGATCTTGCTTCTGTTACGGTCTGTCTAGATTTCTAGGCTACTGATGGACTCCTTTCTTAAGTTTCGTCTTGCATGTAACATACTTGGTGTACCTCGCAAAATTAGATCACTTTAGAATGGCACTGTCATGAAGTCACAAAGCAGCCAGTTGAGCTGAACTGGTGACAGCTACCAAACTACTGCATACCAGGTTTCTGAAGTTCTAATGAAGGACAGAGGGAAACGGTGCCATGCAGTGCTGAAGTCTGCACACCTGAACTAAATCTGTCAAACATGAATGGACCAGAATCAGCTCACATGTAGAGCCATGATGACCATAGACCAGGTCCACCAGACAAAATTATCCACCGAGAAAAAAGACACTAAAATGAGCTTTTTCAGAATTTCTGCCTACATTGATGACATGCCAGCACTGTCTTCTGGCAGGCAGAGCCGTGTACAGTGCCGGAGTGACAAACGTGTTCTGGAACGGTGCTCAGCAGGTCAAAAGTGTTGGTCACAGCAACATGAGCCAAGCTGGCAGCGTGTGTGACCTACATTCTGACAAGCTGGATGGGTGTTTTAATTCAGGCAGTGGACGAAGCAGGGTGGGGGTGTTGTGTTGTGCAGGCTGGTCACCATGGAGCAACACGATGGATACTGAATGTCAGCTGCAGGTTTAAAGCCTGTTCTTTTGCACTTACACCTGCAGTACCAATCAATAGAAGATAATTTGCCCCATGGCAGGCACTCATTAACTGATCATACATCAGGTTAAACTGATGCTTACATTTTCCAATAAGAACACCTTGACCTGTTGGCAAAGGTCTTAAAATAAGAAGAGTCTTGAAAAATCATAACCAAGTTCGCAAATTTCTTTTTTTTTCTTATTATTAAAAAAATAAAAAAAGTAAAATATAAAGGAAGAAAATCTCAGAGGAACTGGAGAGAACTACAAGAAGGCAGACAGGGAAGAATAAAACTGAAAGGAACAGAAAGTGAGGTGGATGAAGGACAGGACGAGGCTGTGCTGAAGGATCGGGGAGATGAAAGAGGAAACATGGACTCAACACAGGGAACAGACTTAAAACAAGCCAAAACTCTCAGACATAAAACTATGAACAAATGAAAAAGAATTCAAACCCCAGGAAGGTTTACCTGAGAGAAAACAATAAAAACATGCTAAATTCCACCATGCAAACAGTTATGCTAGATGGATTAGCCTGTCTATGTGTGTGTGTGTGTGTGTGTGTGTGTGTGTGTGTGTGTGTGTGTGTGTGTGTGTGTGTCCACACAGTGACACATTAGCTGTGTTTCCACTATAGACCTCTTCAAACGTGACGTCACGCGCCCCCAGCCCCTGGCCGGCCCCTCCCTGCGGACCAGCATTCTGTTTACCTGGTAGTTGTTAATGAGTAGAGCTAAATAGCAGCAAAAAAACGTAACGTAAACGTTTACATGATTCCAGCTGATAAAATACGCCAAAGGCAAACAGCCATGTAGAGCTGGATAAACCACCGAGACACTGTCTCCTGACAGAATAAATGAGTAAAACATCTGCCTCACATGTCCAGACACCAGCGAGTCATAGCCATCTAATGACTTATGTACTTTTTAAAGTAATGATGCACGGCTGCAGGACTCAAGGAGCCGGGGGAGAAGCACTAGCCGAGCCGGTGTGGAGTGTAGTCAGAGCATGCAGCCTCCAAAGTTGTTTTTGTTTACGGCACTTGTCAGAATAAACAGAACATCCATTAATCTCAGACGAACTGTGTCATAGCAACCCTTCATCACTAACCCGCAAAAAGTAGAAGAGGTCCAGTTTCACCTCGGTTGCTTCAGCTGTGTAAAGTCCAGAGGGACGGTTCCGAGAAGGACCGTCGTCTCACAGTTCGTTAGCCATTTGAAATGGACCAGGAAGCTTTATGGTAAACAGCTTTGAGATGTTTCTATTTTGTGTTCATCTGCACAAAAATGTGTTAGATGATCTGAAGTAGTCAATTCTACATCCCTAGGTTTTATTTTGTTAGCCTAGCTGACGAAGACAGACCTCTGGATAATGGCTGGAGACGGAGTTAATGGCCTTCAGCTTGTGTGGATGTGTGCAGTTGTAAACAATAACCTTCACAGGGTCTATACAGGACAAACATTCACCAGGAGATACAATGGCTCAGTCCTCTCAGACACGGGGTTCCCAAACTAATTCAGCCCTTTCAGAACTTTGCTCAGTCGTCGGCGTATCGCGACTGCTTAGGCAGTGAGTGATGTCAGTCTGCACCAAAGAGCACCCACGGACAATAATAACATTAAAAGTGTTATTCTGTAAAGTATGGCAGAGTTGAACTGAGTTAGAGGACCAGGAGAGCGGCTGTGCGACGTAAAATGTGGCGTTCAATGACCAGAAGAAGAGAAGAGACCACAAAGCCCTTAGCCTGGCCTGCCAGACTCGTCCTCTGGTTAATAACTGAGAGAGAGTCTGGTAACTCACAGGCAGAGAGGCACTTGAGGGGCGGGACTAGGCAGCTCATAAATAACCAATCAGAAACAAGACGGAAATGCCGACTATACCGTGCGATGCTATAGCTTGTTAGCTGTAGTCAAAAATGGCGTCTGGTGACAGCGCAAACATCTTTCTTTAGACAAAAGGCTTTTAGCACTTCTACTTCTGGTTTTAAAGACATTCATGTCATTTAGAACAAAGGAAAGAGCCGCAGCAAACTCCGCTGCTGTCCTCGCTGTTTATGAGTAACTGAGCGTCGCTGTGTGTGACGTCCACGACACTATAGCTTTTTAGCTGTAGTCAAAAATGGCGTCTGGTGACAGCGCAAACATCTTTCTTTAGAAGAAAGGCTTTTTGCACTTCTACTTGTTTTAAAGACGTGTCCGAGTCATTTGAACAAAGGAAAGAGCAGCAGCGAACTCCGCTTCAGCCGCCATGTTTATGACAAACTCGGCGTTATGGTGTGTGACGTACGCTGCTCAGCACTGATTGGCTCGGTTAGAATTCTCATGGGGTGGGGTTATTTGAAAAGCAGAGTTCCCAGACCCTTTCTCTGTGCAGGATTTAACAGATGAGTCTGGCAGGTCAGGCTACAAAGCTCTGTGATTTAGGGCCCTAAAACAACAACCCCCCCAAAATACTCAAAGATACACAAATTATAAATGCTAAAGTAAATAAAGAAAACCACAAAACAAACTAATGTCTCAGTTACGCTGGATGGAAGAACACACAGAAACAACTTTGTTCCGCAGCCAGCCAGAGGGATTGTCAGTTTCTCTCATTTTAAAAGAGCTAAAGAGGGACAAAGTCTTTGTTTACAATCTGTGAGCACGCAGGGTTGCTGAGTCTGCTCTGACAAGTGCCACCTCCAGCATTTGTAAAGATCTTAAACAACAGGAGAGACCCAGAAGTTATTTATTGTACCCCTAAGAAGCTACGGCATCATTTCACTCTAATATCAAGTCAAGCAGTCAATCATTGAGCTAACAATGCTAACAGTGAATTAGAAATTAATAATCACCTCTAAAAAATCTCAATCACCAACAACCCTATGTTACAATAGTCTCAGTTTACAGTTCATGACTCATCTAGAATGTTCTGGTGCGGCTCGGTAACAGACATGAAACTCATAAACCTGCAGAATCTGACCACAGGATGTCATTCTTACTTTATTTACTGATGAACCTCGGCTAGTTTATGATTAGTTTACTGAGAATTAATTATCAATAAATCTGAGTTTGCAGGATTACGGTTGAGGCCGTAGCTTGGTCATCGTGTGTGTGGAGATGAAATGGCTCAAAACCTGGAACTAGTTCCACGTGAAGCTGACTCATATCCAAAACTGGAGATATGACCTCAGTTCTGCTTTTTCAGAAGAACATAACACACACCATGAAAGAGCTCGGGTGGAGTTGATTTAAGCCGTTTATTGTGTGTGTGTGTGTGTGTGTGTGTGTGTGTGTGTGTGTGTGTGTGTGTGTGTGTGTGTGTGTGTGTGTGTGTGTGTGTGTGTGTGTGTGACTTTAGGACATCTGTGAGGACATTTCGGATCATGTGGAGCAGATTCACGCCCTGTTGGAGACTGAATTCTCCCTGAAGCTTCTCTCCTATTCTGTTAACATCATTGTTGACATCAGGTGAGTTTATGAAGGAAAAAAAACGAGTCATCCATTTCAACTTCTATTCTCATGCTTTGTCATGATTAATTAATGAGTTTTTAAAACGTATCTAACAGTGAATCAACCAGTGAATATTAAACCCACCAACAGAAGATTGGAAGTTTGAGTCATTATTTAAAGACGGCTTTGTTGTCATGTTTGGCTCAGAACTGTGCAGCTGCTGTGGCACCAGCTGAGAGTATCTGTCCTAGTCCTGAAGGAGCGTCTGCTGCAGGGTCTGCAGGATTCAAACGGAAACTTCACACGTCAGACAGACATTCTCCAGGCCTTCAGCCAGGACCAACACCAGGTGTGATGCAGACCGAAGAGTTTCTGGTGGTTTGAGTTCCTTCTAAGAAGGAACTTTGTTCCTTAACTGCATCTAAGCCGTAGAACTGACGCTAACTCATCTGAATCATTGGATAATGTTCTTTGTGTTTATCGGCGTTTCACAATGACAGAGTAAAATGTACATTTCTAAAGCCATTATTATTTCTAGACATTAAACAGATGAAAAGCCAATCTGAAAATGCTGAAATGATCCACTCTCCTTCTCCAGAAACGTCTGGATGCTCTGACTGAAGTGGATGACTGTGGTCAGCTGACCATACGCTGCAGCCAGGACTATTTCTCTCTGGACTGTGGCATCACTGCCTTTGAGCTGAGTGACTACAGTCCCAGCGACGAGCAGAGAGCAGAACCCACAGGTCAGGACCAGTCCCAGGAGAGCAAGTATACCCGAGTCTCCAGCCAAAAACTCCACAACAGTCTACCAGAACTCTGCATGGTGGCTGATTCAGAAAACCACAACCAACCTCAGTCTATGTTACCCACAATGCACTGTGGCATGTCAAATAAAAATGAAAGCTCAAAGCGCCCTCTGCAGGACGTGAGTCTCAGTACTGAAGTGTCGCCTACACACCTGTCACTTGCCAAGAGAGCTGCTTTGCTCTTGAATGGAGAAACCAAGATGGAGGACTTGACTAGGAGTTCTAGAGGGGCTAGCCTGCATCCTGGGATGCAGCTTCACGGTGAGCTGAGCCAAAGCACCCCAGCCCTTGTGGACCCTCTGGACCGGTCCAGGTTTTGTTTGGAACTGGACTCTGTTTATCCAGAAACTGTTCCACAGTCTTCTGAGAGCTTACAGGTACGTCTTCTTTTACCATTGTTATTATAATTATAATTTGCATAGAAAGATTTGTGGTTACAGGAAAATCTGATTAAACGTATTCTGAAAATGCACTGAAATACTATTAAAACAAATAACTTCAACAAATATAGTCTGGCATACACTTGCACCAGCACACAAATGTTTTATTCTGAAAATTCTGATTATTTTCTCATCAAAGTTTAACGTGAGACAAAAAAACGGCAATCAAGCAAACGTAGATACATTTCAGAAATAAATACAACATGTAAATAAACCTTTATTTTGTCTTTAGTGTTCTTATACTAACTAACAGCTAGCTGACTGGAACTATTTACGATCTAATGTTAACCTAAAAACTGTTTCAGTCCCAGTTGTGTTTCTTTGACAATATAAAAACTCTAGAGAAATAAAATTGGCCCTTGCCACATGCTGATCTTCCACCAGAGGGCAGTAGACCAGTAAAGGCATGAATAGTGTCAGGTTTGTGATGTGAAGGTGCTAATAGTCCATCTGGATGCTTCAAGGCCAGAAGGGCTTCGATGAGAACGTAGGATGACGGACTAGAAAGGGTCAAACCAAACAAATGAGAACACCTGAAAGTGAAGCTGTTTAATTCTGAGTAAGAGGTTTCAGACAGTCCAACACGTTCTTAATGACATGTTCTTTATGAGCAGACATTCAGCTGAATGACAAATTATGGAAACAAATTTAGATTTCTTCATCAGGAAAGTTAAAAAAAGGTTGTGAAAAGTTGACTTTAAGGATTGAATCAAACAAGTTTCAATAAAAAACAACATAACTGAACTAAAGCTAGGGTTACCTGAACAGGTAAAGAAGCACCAGGGACGACACTCCTCACAGGGACTGAAGCCTGACAACAGGAGCTCATCGGGGACCGCCCCCCCACCTCTAACCAGTCTCAAGTCTCAGGATGATATAATAAACCAGACGGAGAAGACACTGGAGAGGACACATACACCCAGCAAGGGGGGCTTTGACTCATCCTCGCTCTCCCCCACGCGGGAGCAGATCCTCTCCTCAGACCTGGAGGCGTCTGGAGAGGAATCCGATCCCCAGCTGTGTCCCGACAAGACACCAGTCTGGTTCATGAAGCAACACGGGCACAAGGTGAAACTCAGTTCCTTCCCAGTGATTACATTTATGTTTTTTTTCTTCTGTTTTTACTTCAGTGAAGTAAATAAATCCAGATTCATAACTTTTATCACTCTGAGGAGAAAACATGTTCCTTTAAATTTATTTTGTTCCAAAAATAATTTTTTGAACCAACAATTTATCTTTACATGGCAGTGACAGTCACTATGTCACATATGTTCGAAAAACACGTTTTTATTTATGGAAGAAGTTAAAACCAAAAACGGGTTTAAGAAGATTACAAAGAACCAAGCATGTGATGATGGAAACGATGGACACATTAGGTTTTACTGCCTAACCCTAACCCTTATCTATAGAGCTCTTTAACATGGCGTTGCAGCTAATCAAAGCGCTGCACGCTCATAAAACACCACAGACAGAACGAGTCACATAGGTAGTGGAAACGATGCAAGTAAAGCTAAACAAGGTGACTTAATGCTTTATTGACTAGGGGTGGAAGGCCAGGGAGAACTGCGTGGTCTGTTTTCAGGCATGATTCAAAAACAGCAATAGAGGGCGCTTGTCTAACCCGGAGAGTTTTAAAGTCTAAGTTCACTGAGAAACCATGCTTTACTTGTTATTTTTGAATGTGATTGTCACTCTGAGTTAAACATGCGGGCTGAATGTGAAAAAGTCTTCTCGCCCTGTTTCCTGCATTATCTTCTGAAAAAGGCTCGGCTAACAACAGGAAGTCACACTGTCACTGAACATTCGTGGTCTCACCCATCTCGACCCACGACGGGGAAGGCTGTTGTTGGTTAGCGTCCAGGAAACAGCAGAGAACGTCTCAGCTAGTAGAAGCTGTTAGCATTAGCAACTCCACCACACAGCAGAACTCCTCCAGCCTTGTGGTATTCGTGGAGATAAAACATAAATGTTGGAGAACAAACAGAGTCAGTGGTAGAGTCGTGTTAACCAATCGAGATGTCTGAATATCAGGAAATATTAATGAGTGAGACTCATGATCCTGCTGTCTTCTGCTGCCCACTCCTCCTGGAAACAGAAGACCCAATCACAAACCACGCATTTATTCTAGAGACCACAGCAGATGTGTTAAACGTGATCTTAAAGACAGCATCACGTGTTCTATTTGCATGTTTTGTCCAGACATTTCCTGCGGCCGGTCCAGAGCACTGGTATGGTTCGGAGGAGTTCTTGGCTCTTCCTGCTCAGCTCCATAAATCTGAGATCCTCGCTAAGAAACTAGAGAGTCTGACCCAGTCTATCCCCCTGGTCAGTTTAAACACAGATACCACCTGATTTTTGATTGGTAATTATTTATCTGCTTTTATTTCTGATTCCCATTTCTGTTAAATCGTTTCACTGCAGATGAATGTCAGCTCTACACAGATGGCGTTGCAGGATGTGGATGACTGGGAGCTGACCGAGTTCAACACAGACTGGGACATAGAGAGCAGGGGCAACGCTCTATCGACTCTGCCACGGATGGTAGGACTATCGTTGTTCTGAACCACCAAAAATAACCACTGAATGTTATTTACATTTACTGTCATTAACCATCCCTCAGCACCGAAACCCCGTCAGCCGCTCAAGCCCCGCCTCCTCCAGTGAAAGAGCACCCTCACTGGATGAAAGTCTAGAATCTGGCCCTTTGAGTGACCTGCAGTCTGAGGAAGAGGAAGAGAGGAGGACTGCGGGAACCTTGGAGCTGACAACGCCCCCTGTGGAGAGACGTGCATGCGTGTCTCTGGTGCAACAGCTGCTGGAGGACATTCAGGATCAGGACCAGGACCCCTACGTTTGGATGAAGATGGAGGTAGTCTTTCCATTTCCATTGAACTTTCCTAATTGCTTTGTGATGTGCCGTCCTCTCATCCTTGGATGTCTCAGAGCACAGAACTAGTTTTCTGTGTTCTGCAGTTCTTAAGTGCCTGAGAGGACCGTGCAGCTTGGTTCTGATGAGGTGAAACAGGTCCGCTCCAAATGACCTCATCATTGACACATTTATCCTTCTGCTGCAGCTGTCTTGATGGATTGAGGGGCTGGTATTGGATCATTCTGTGGCCATGTTAATTCATCACCTCTTTTCTAAAGGTCACGTTTGATTGGCAGGCAGATTATTGATGAGGCTGCCCGGTGAACTAATCAGTCATATCTGTCATATTGAATATGGTAAAATGTCAATAGCTCTGGGGATTCTCTCCTCCTTTAATTAGCACTATAAAAAGATGCTGCTGCCTTTAATATGTTTTATTGTTGTATTCAGGTTTATGACACTCTCTTGCCTGCCATTGCCATAGTTTTCTTAGCTGCAGCAACGTCCCAGTGTCCCTTCAGGGTCCAGTGGGAACCTGTCTTTCCCGGGGTTGGTGGTGTCAAAGGCTCCCAGGCAGCGTCAGACACTAATAAGGTGTTCGAGGTTCTGGAGGATGAGGTGTAAATGAAAGACCATTTAGGTGAAACGACATCCTCAGCCAGGAGATGTGCTGCAGACTCTAAACTCCTCAGTGTTTTTGGTTGTTAATGAAGACGACTTGTCTCATTCTGTCGTGTGATCTCAACCTAAACTGGATGTAAATCTGAGACAGGGTTTCTGACTCTGGCTTGTTGGATGCAGTTTCTGTAAAACCCAGAAATGATCAAACATTCAGCTCAAATAATAAATACTGTATTACTCCAATGCTCAGAGGCATTGCTGCTATTTTAAAACAAAGCTCTGGGAGATTTTTTGAGGAAGATTTTCACTTTTCATATAACGTACTGAGACACATCTTCAAGTTTGACCTTTTGACCTTACTGATTAATTTGAAGCCAGGCAAATGAGCATTACCTCCCTTTGAGTCATGGTCTGTGTCTGCATCTCCCCTCATGTGTCTCCTTGTGTCCTCCATTCGTTCTCTAGGTGCTCATTTTGTGTCCTAGCGCCCTCATGTGTCATGTCTGCGTCTTCCTCATGTGTCTTCTGGTTTTCCCCATTTGCCCCTAGATCTCCAGCCCTCTAGGTTTCTCAAGTCTTTTCCTTTAGTTACAGCCTTTCATGATTTAGTATGTTTTTTCCCATCAGTGTTTATTATTTTTCTCCTCCCTCCCTTTGAATTGTAGTTATGTTTCCTGCTCTTTTGTATTAGGTTTTATTCTTAGGTCAAGTGAGTTTCTCCCCTGATTAGTCATTGCCTTCACCTGGTCCTCCTCCCACACCCCACACACCTGCAGCTCATCTCCCTCTCATCCTGCCTGTGTATTTAAGCCCTGTCTTGTCTCAGTGTCTTGTCGGTCCATTGTTTGTATTCTGTCAGCGGTTGTTTGTGCTCTTGGTGAGCTTTTTGTCTCGTCCCCAGACTTTGTGCTCTAGTTGAGCTTCTGTTTCAAAGTCTTTGGTCTTTGTGCTCTTTGAGAGCTTTGGGTGTCCTGTGCTCCAGGACTTTGGACTTTGGGCTCGTTGCCTTGGATTTATTTTTGTTCATCCTCTAATAAAAGGATTTTTTCCTTATATCTACTCCTGCCTCGTGTCCTCCTGGGTATCTGCATATTTGGATCCTAAACATCCCCGAAACGTGACACTTTGGTGATGCACTCTGCTTTCCCTTCATCTGATGCCAACTAAACCTGTCAGTGCCATGTTCTAACAAGCTCCTTGAGCTTTCTTCAACTAGAGACATATTCACACTTTAGACTCATCACCAAACAGCAGCATTCATAGATAAACATGCAGTAGGGGCGGGTTAATATGCAGATTAGGAATGGGAATGATTACATATTACATCAAATTATTATCAATATATGTTGAACAATGTCCACAACTATTAAAAGACAGGAGAATTAGTGATTGCTACTATTACCCTCAACTGTACTGTTAATTCACTCAAAAGGGTTGTAGAATAGCAGCCCACGCCTGGTTTGTCTTTTTACACTCAGCTCATGTAGCTTATTTAGCATCATGCTACTTAGGTTACAGATATTTGTTCATGCCAATAGAAAGTTTTACCATTTTTAAATGTCAGAAAATAAACAAAGAAAATTCACATGTATTCATCATGTGAACTGGCTAGATAGTTAGAACATTTTTTTAGCTCTGATACACACACACACACACACACACACACACACACACACACACACACACACACTCTCTCTCTCTCTCTCTCTCTCTCTCTCTCTCTCTCTCTCTCTCTTCCTGTCTTCCTCTCTGCTCCTGGGTAATTAGCTGATTAGCTGCTTAATTAGCAGCATGTAATCATAGCGATGGATGAGCTGCCTAAGTGGAGAGGGAGGAAGAAGAGTCTCAGTATGGATGATGACATTCTGTCTCTCCTCAGAGTCGCTGCAGAATGCTGAGGCCACAATGACATCATTCATCCAGGGATGAGAATCTGCTGGAAGATCATAGCAGGAGCAGAATTTACTTAAACTCATGAAAATAAAATTGGATCACTTGCTATTGTTGAGGGTTGGAAGCATTTAGGTGTGTTTATATGTGAAGTCAATCTACGTTCCATCCCTCGCCTGCGGTCACGAGCTTTGGATAAAGACAGGATCTCAAACACAGGTGACCAGATTTAGTTTTCTCAAGTGTCGTGGTCTCAGCCAGCCTTAGGGATGGGATCAGACTAATAATCAGAGCAATGGATTAGATTTATTTAGCACTTTTCAAGACACTCAAAGTGCTTTCCATCATTTATGCACTCACACATTCACACACTGCCAGTGATGGTAACCTGCTGCATAGCCAGAGCCACTCTGAGGCAGCCGTTTTACGCCATCGGCCCCTCTGACCACCAACAACACAAGCAAGGTGGGTGAAGTGTCTTGCCCAAGGACACAAGAGCAGAATACTGATGGGAGCTGGAAGTGATCCCACGATCCTCCAATCATTAGTCAACCCGCTCTTCCTCCTGAGCTACTGCGTGAAGTAGAGCTGCTGTTCCGCCACGTACAGAGCTATCAGCTGAGGTGGTTTGGGTATGTGCTCAGGTGTTTCAGGTATGTTAGAAAGGAGAATCATGTGGATCAGCTCCTCCAGGGGAACAACCCAACCCAGCCGTTGTTTATAAAGCACCGTGCAGACACAAGCGTGCCACCAAGGTGCTGTACAACCAAAGAATAAAACACATAAAAGCAACAGACACAATTAAAACCAACACGTTAAACTTACAAGATAAGAACATGTGAAACATCAACAAGAGCTAGCCAAGCAGAATTAAAAGCCTGATCGTTAAAATAAGTTTTCTGCCTCATTTTAAAAACCGCTACTGATGGAGTGATCCTGATAGCTATGGGCAGACAAGAGATATAGTCCCTCCTGTCCTGGTTCTTCCTTTGGGTCTCCTCCTGATTGGTCATGCCAAGAAAACCTCACCAAGGAGGTATCCAGGAGGCATCCTAACCAGATGGCCAAGCTTATCACCCTATCCCTAAGGAACACTCTTCAGAGAAAACTCATTTCAGCCACCAAAATGGGGGGGGGGGGGGGGGGGGGGGGTATTGGCTTTTATACACTACCCATCCCAAAAAACAAGTCACCACTTGGATTTAACTACCGTCATCAATGCAAGATCTTGGTGAGACATTAATGCAACACTGGATAGTGTCTGGTGACACTGCAGAAGCTTATTGAAACTACGCCACAGCGAATGTGTGATGTAATCAAAGCCTAAGGAGTTCCAAAGAAATCTTGGAGAGTGTGAGCTGTGGGGCATTGTATTTCAGCAATCTCTAAGTGCAACAGGAAAAACAACGTAAAATAAAAATTGGGTCAACAAATAATTAAAAAATAAGTAAAAGGAGAGCCTATTAAATTAATTTAGCAAAAAGATTTAAAAAATGATAGGTTTGTATCTGAAATCTCATTCTTTAGGTGACTACCCAACGCCTTTGACCATGAGAAGGTAGGAACGTTGATAGACCCGTAAATTTAGAGCTTTGCTTTCTGTTTCAGCTTTCTTTTCATGACAGACTGATACAGTTCTCGCTTCACTGTGGACATTAAATCAATATGTTTATCAGCCTCTCACTCAATTTTTCTCTCATAAGACCCAAGATCCTCCTTCACTTGGGGCAGAACCTGAGCCCTGACCTGGAGAAGGCATTCCACCTTTTTCCTTCTCAAGACCATGGTCTCATATTCAGAGGAGCTGATTTTCATCCTGGCTACTTCCCACTTGGCTGCAGACTGCTCCAGAAATAGTTGGAGATCATCTCTAATGAAGCTAAAAGGACCACATCATCTACAAAAGCAGAGACCTGATTCTTAGTCCACCAACACGGATCTAATCAATAGCTTGACTGCACCTAGAAATCCTGTCCATAAAAGGTTTGAACAGAATGAGTGAAAAAGAGCAGCCGTAGCGGTTTCCAACTCTCACTTAGAATGAGTCAAAATTACTGCAATGCGGACCAAGCTCTGGCCCTGGTCATACAAGGACCTAACAGCCTGTATCGAGGGGCCTGGTACCCCATACTCCCAGAGAACCCCCATAAGACTGCCCACAGGTCTATGGTCAAATGTTGATCAGCCACTTATTTTACAAAGGTAAATGAGACAGCTACAAAATGTATACATATGGAGATACGAAGTCCCAGACGTTCGGTAAATGGGCTGTGTGCTTTCACCTGGTGTGCTTTCACCTGGTGTGCTTTCACCTGGTGTGCTTTCATAAGTAAAAAGAAAGAACGCCAGTTGTCGATGTAGAAACAGTTCACCTATTAGATAAGTGTCTTGTGAATCATCACATCTCATTGTATGGGCTGTCTGGGCTAGCATTAATGTCCTCAGTGTGAGGTGTCTGTGTATTTGAAGACTCTGTGGTAAGCCAGCCT